CCAACTAGGCAGCAAATTGGAAACTAGTTAAGCACTGAACACTTAATGGGCCAAAAGCCCATTTCGAGCTGAGCTGATATGATCACCCATCTATGGGGCGGATCTGAGATTAATGTTAGTAAAAAGGATTTGGCCTTTAACCTTAACCACTCTGGGAGACCAAATTCAAATCAGATTTGAATCTGGTAATCTCCTGATAAGATCAGGAGTAAGCTAACTTAATTTGCAGATAGGATTAAGATAATCCCCTATCCAAATACTGATTTGGATTGAGATAACTCCTAATTAGAAGGTTTCTTAATCAAGAAGAAAAGAGGATAAACCCTAAGTGATAGAAAGAGATTTTGAACCTAAGGGTTTTGGGAAGAAAAAAAAGCATCCTGCGAATTGAGATTAGATCTCATACAGACTCCAGAGAGAAGAGAAGCTATTCAGCCATTTTCGTCCCAGGAGTTCTCCTCCAACTGCCGCCATCCTTTCTTACGAGATTCGATCTTTGAAGAAGAAAGAAATCAAGAAACTGTTTCTTGACATCAGCTTTGCAGAAAAGACTGAAAAAGATTTGGTGCTTAGAGTTTCCAGAGGATTATTGAGAAGGATCCAGTGTGTAGGACGCACTCTGCTGGTTCCGTTCCACATACAGCTGTGTCATCTTCAGCAGGAGTGGATCTTGGTGTCCTCTTTGGGCGTGAACACCAACTTTGGGAGATACTACTTCTCTGGATCAGGTATAATTCCTCCATTTCCCTTTTGATTCAGATCTGGTTCGATTATGGTTTAAGTAGGATCCTTGAATATTGTATTCTGAATTTAGGGAATATGATTCCCAGTTGGAAAAAGGTAGGAAAATTTTTGAAATTCGCCCACCCATTCTGCAAACTTTTTGGCGTCCATTAGATGGATCCTACCATTCTTTCACCAACAAAATACAAATCAACTATGCAGGCCCCACATCAATTACACAAAATATATAAACTAAAAAAGGCAAGGAATTTGGTTGTATAGAGAGACTGTGCCAAATGGGCCCTAGTACTTGTTTATGTTTTAAGTAGCATCATGTTTACTTTTTAAGTGTTAATGGGCCTTTTTCATTATGGGCCCGTTAATTTGTTTTGTGTTTCTTTCCGCCCACTTATGGGCAAAGATGTAATTAGTCATAGTTAAGTAAGTTTAATAAAAGATTAAGAGAGAGAGAGAGAGAAGAGAAAACTATCGACATCTCTTTTCTCCTTTCTCTTCTTCTTCCTTCTTTTCAATTGGCCTTTTCGGCTTTATCCCAACAGTTGCAAAGTGTTCTGAAGGTGGTCCTTATAACTGTATTTTCCACCTACTTTTTTCATTGCTTACTACAGAGTATGTTTGAGCAAGGGTGACTTCATCCTTGGCCAAAATATTCTGCCTAATAATGTCGAACTCATGGTTGAGTCCTATAAGAAACTCAAACACCTTGTTTCACTCTACCAATTTTCTAAATGTCTCTGCATCCTTCTTGCTCTCCCATACAATTGTCTCCATAACATAAATCTCTTGCCACAATGATTTTAACATGGAGAAGTAAATTGCTACACTCTTCTCCCCCTATATCAGATTGTTCACATCACTCTTCAACTTATAGGCTCTCATAAACATTCAACTTTTGTGAATATGTTTCAGCGACACTGTCCCAAATCTCCTTGGTAGAAGTCATCTAGAGGTAATGTTAGCTTATGTGGGGCTACATAGAGTTGACTAACCACCCAATTATAATGTAGTTCTCATGCATCCATTTTTTATACGTAAGGTTCATCTTTGCAGGTTTCTCCTTATTGCCTGTGAGATACCCCAATTTACCTCTACTAGTTTAATTGTAGTCACTCCACTAGAAAAGAAATCTATTGGACCAACCCCGGATATCAGAATCTGCTTCATTTCACTTTTACATTGTTTCATTAATCAAACGAAAATAAAAAACTAGTTTTTCACTCTTTATGGACCTAATTGATGCCAACTCAATACCAAAAAGTTCAAAAACTAGGGTTTCACTACACTCAGCTCAATGGGAGAAAGAGAAAAGGAGGCCGCTCCTATCAGAGTTTCCCAACCTTCTTCAAACCTTAGCCACCCCCTTCTAGGGATTAAAAGAGACCTCCCAAGCCCTAAGTGCCACACCAAATCCTTCTCCTTATCCTGTAACTTGAAATCTCTCTAGTCGGCTAGGGTTTTGGGTAGAAAAATAACAGCTCCATTTCTTAACACTATTCGACCAAAATTTAACTCTCCAAACCCTCTACCAGCTAGGCAAACAGTCCTCTGAATGATCAGAAGCTTATCTCTCTATACACCCACTCTTCTAATCGAAGGGTATATGGGAAAAGAAAAGAAAAAAATGGAAGAGGAAAAAACTGCTCTAATACCAAGATGTAAAATTGTCCTTCAAATCTGATAATTAAACCTGATTACAACAATAAAAGAAAAAGAAAAAGAGGTTATTACAGCATAGAGAAGAAGAAGAGAAAGGAGAAGAGAGAGTTCAATAGCTTTCTCCTTCCTGTTGCATAGAGAAAAAAAAAATTGAAGGATGCAATTAGCTAGCACCTATTTAAAACTAATTAAAAGGAAATTAGTTCACTGAATTGAGTAAACAGTTGTGCAAATGAAAAGCTTGAAGCTTCCAAAATGGAATTTAAAAATTACAAGATTAAAACTAAAATTAATAACATGAAAAAATACAAAATGTATAACAACTTCCTCAAACTGATAATAGTATATTCAATAAAGATAATATATTAATAAAATTATAAAATATCATATAATCATGTCTCAAATTGTCTATTTTCATTTTTCAAAGGAGCTTTGTGTTTAAGGGTCACGAACTGCTTATTTAGGTCTCAAAAACCATCAGCATCAGTATAGATGTTTACTAGCGTATGGCCAATTGTTAATGTTTGTTAGCATAGCTTTTCACCTCAATGGTAGCCGACGGACACTTGACTACCGGTAAAAATCTATGCCGTTAGCATAGAGCTTTTTGGATGAATGAAAATGAGAAACATGGAGTTCGATTTTTTTTTTTTTTTTTTGTGCAAATTGCCTCAATTTTTGTGCCAAGAGATCCATGGTAACAATTTTATAACCAAATGCGCTTATATAATATATTTTTGCCTATTCTAATAATAAGAATTGAACATGGCACTAAACCAAACATAACCTAAAGTGTCACCTCAGATTTTTACTGGCTGAGATCGTCTTTGCTCATCAATCGCATTGAATTGAAGGTGGTGTCTAATTGAACTCCATAACCTAAAGTGTCACCTCGAACTCCATAATCTACATGATGGAAATGAAGCATTCACAAACCTTCGCCAACTTTCCACCCGAAGTCTTATTAATCTAATTGAAGGCACAAGGTATGTCTTTTCCTTCTTTAACCCAATCAATTCTAACCAATTGAGAAAGAATTCTGAATCCTCAAAGAGTAAGTACGTCTCCAGTGAAAGGCTGAAAGATCATTTGCTATTTTTACAGGAAAGATGCAGAGGAACTTGATAGTAACATGAACAAGTTGTTCGTAGTCCAGCATGATCTGCTCAGAGACTTGGCTATCTACATGAGTAAGCCGCAGAACGAAGACATAACAGAAAGACGGAGACTTATAATGGAAAGAAGAGGAGATGATCTTCCAGAAAGCTGGAGGGAAGAAATGGATCAAAGCTTCAGTGCCCGCCTAGTCTCTATCCTTACAGGTTATTATAATCAATCATGATACCCCAAATGTTGCCTTGTCATGTTATCTTTTCTCTGTATTGTGGCTCACGGGCAATGGCTTGCAGATGAAACGTACCCCTCGAACTGGAGTGATATGCAACTTCCAAAGGCTGAGGTTTTAATTCTGGATTTCTTGGCAACCGAATACTCTTTACCCCCCTTCATGGAGAAAATGGGAAAGCTCAAGGTGCAGATCATGACAAGTCATGGACAAAAACATGCCAAACTCAAAGGCGGCTTGCAGGCACTAGGTAATGTAGCCCAACTGAAGAAAATCAGGTTAGAGAAGATTTCAATTCCTCCGCTTATAGTGCCACTGAAGAATTTGCGAAAGATATCATTGGTTATGTGTGAGGTTGGCCAAGCCTTCACTAACTGCACCATGGAGATCTCCGACATGCTACCAAAACTCATCGAGATGGACATTGACTACTGTAACGATCTGATAGAACTACCACCAGGGTTATGCCATGTCTCCCACCTGCAAAAGCTGAGTATCACCAACTGTCATAATTTATCCAAACTGCTTGAAGAGCTCGGAGATATGACTAATTTAGTGGTGCTAAGGCTGCACGCATGTACAGAACTGTCACAGTTGCCAGACTCAATCCGAAATCTCCACAAGTTAAGATTTCTAGATATCTCTGAATGTGTGAGAATGGAAAGCCTACCCCAAGGGTTGGGTGAGTTAAACAGTTTGGAAAAGATCGACATGAGCAAGTGCTCGAGAGTAAAGTAATTGCCAATCTCAGCTATAAACCTTCGGAATCTAAAAGTGATTTATTGCGATGGTGAGACAACCAGTCTGTGGAAACGTCTCCAACTTCCCGAGCTTAGCATAGAGGAGCGTAAAGAAGATATCAATTTGAGTTGGCTTGGGATTTGATCCAAAAAAGAAACCACAGTCTTCTTTTGATGAGGAGGGATTTGTTACTTGTTAGGATTTAGAAGGAACCAGTGAATAATTAAAGAGTGTCTTTAATTTGCATGTATGAGTAGATCAACAAAAAAAAAAAAAAAAAAAACTCCCTTTATAATAATTCATAATTTCATATACATGTTTTGGACAATTGGATTTAAACCCTGATTCATATTCTGGGTCATAAATCGTAACAATGACTATCAACATCACCTCACGACGGAGAAGAGCTTTTCAAGTGATGGCAAAGACTTTGAGGCCGAGAATCGGCGTCAGCAATTAATTGTGTGGCCTCAAGAATTGTCTAAAAAGATTAACTCAGCCCTGAAGGAAAGGAATCAAATCATCCGAGCCAAGGAACAACCGTTCAGAAATCAGAATTGTCTAAAATATTACCTCAGCCCGTGACTGCAGGGTCACCGGTGAAGAATGAAAGGTGAGCCCCATCTCTACTCCTTAACGTGCGTAGCTCTTATTTCACACCTTAATTATTATCCCAGTTTGTCTTCTTTGACCCTTGTCTCCGCTACAACCAGCAGGAGACTTTACCAGTCTAGCCAACTGGCAGCTTAGATGCTTTGTCTCGAAGTACATAATTTTCTCATTTGATCATCCATTGATCAAATTTCCTTTCATGATTCATCTGAAACGGGTAGCACCTTTTATAACTCTTTTAAGATACATCTAAACAACCCTTGCTCCAACATGAGCCGTCGAGGATAGATAGTCGAAATCAACTACTCAACCATGTAACATAGTTTATATCAGCGGTAATGTTTAGGCTAATAGGCTCATTTGGTTTTGGTTTGTGGGAGTGATGCAAATGGATCGGATCGGATTATAATCGAGATATATTTGAATCCAATCTGATAATGCAAATCTTAGATTGATTCTAAGATCTGTCAGATTTTACAAACAGTGGTTTAAATCTAAATCTATTAAGGATGTCAAATATCCGAATATGATCGAATTAGATTCAACTTTTTAAATTTTTAATAAATTATTAAAAGAAAAAAGCATACCGGTTTATATAAAAAAAAACAAAAAAAAATACAATTATTTTCATCATATATACATAATATATGTCTTTTATAAAAAGTAAATAATATAAAAAATTTACAAAAATGCAATATAAAACATATTTATAAATATATGTATATATTGGACAAGGGGTGATCCAAATACGACCCAATATTTAATCTAATCCTATTATCTGATCTGATCTAATCAAAAAATCCTCAAAATCCAACAAAATAGGATCATATTCGAATTTGGATCAGATTATGATCCAATCCATTTGCACCCGTCTGGGATGGGAAGGGCTTTTTTTATAAAGTGAATATTCTTCACTTCTCATGACATTTTACAAATCAAACATGAGAAGTGAAATGAAGTGAATACTCATGTTTGGTTTGTGAAATGTCATGGGATGGGATAAAAAAAATTGGGATTATAAATCTCAATTTTGGGGATATAGAATCCCAGCATTTTAGTGGGAAAGTAGGAAAGGGAGGGAAAACTTGTTTAACATAAAAAATAAAATAACACCTTCCTCATAGTATTTTTAAGAGTTAATGTTAAACCCATGACCCATTAATAAATTATTAATTATTTAATAAGATATTTATAAAATAATTAAATTAAAATTAGTTAATAAATAAACTAAAAGAAATAATTTATATATAATTATTAATTATTTATTACTAATAAAACATAAACTTATGAAATTAAAATATTAACTTATGTTAACAACTATTAATGTTAACTAATTAATAATTAATAAGAATGTACTAAATAATAAAAATATGATTAATTAACTAAAGAGCAATTAAATAATTATTTTAATATTAACTTAATAAATAATTAATTAAATGTAATTAATTAAGAATAGTTAACAATACAAAATAAAAATATTAATAATTAATAATAAAATATAAAACAATAATGTATTACTGATTACCTAATTAATAATTGTTATTGAGATTGATTTTGCCATTATTTTTCTTTTTGCAACCAAATAATGAAACATGAAAATTTTGCTCACCCCATCCCATCCCATCTTTTCTCATCCAACCAAAATCTTCCCTCAAATCAAACACAATCTTAGATTTTTTATTTGAAATATGAGTTCCACTAAATAGCTTGCTAGTTGCTACCAAATGTTTTTATGGGTGCAAGCAATGTTTTAAAATCCAACCCATTGGTATGGGTGCAAGCAATAGAATATAAGGATCCAGAAATTGATTGTCATGGCCAAAGCCTTTCTGGCTATCCTTTTAGAACCCATTGGTCGCGATTTGTAAAGCAGAACTTATGAAGGCCTGAATTCAAGGCTGTCACTTGTCAGAAATCAGAAACGAAAAAGAAGCAAATGAGAACACAAGTCGTCACTCGTCACATTTGCAGTAACTGGTTTTAACTGTGTAATTTAAGAGTACAAAAATATCACTTTTGAGGTGGCCCAAAAAACAAAAAACGAGGGCATATCGCTAAAATACATAAATAAATAAACAGGCAGCACCCAGTGGCAAGGGTTGGTTCCCATCCGACCTTTGAATTTTCAGAACCTGAAACCTACCCTCGCAAGCATTAAACGTAAATTCTTTTCAGACCTACAGACAGGATCAAGCTGCGTATTATGAACAAGTCATTCTGGTAGGCAGAGGGACTCTGCTAGTAAGTCAAATCAAGTTTTGACTCACTCTCCAGACCGCCCACTAGCTATATAATAGTCAACCTCCCCATCTCCCTCAAACCTTCGCATGCCATAAGACCCAGAAGAGTGTACTCAACTTGTGTGATTGTGTCATGGTCATGGAAGCAATCCATGCCACACCCAAGACAGACTGCCCAATTACATAGCATAAACTATTTCCCCGCTGCTATCAACATCAAGGTCGGGATCAGTCTCCAGGTCTTCCATGTCATCATCAAGGTCCAAGCTGCCAGTTAAATACTGGTTCAGACCACCGGTCCCAGCTGCAGGTATGGTTGCTTCAGTAATGATCTGCATGATTTCATCAATACTTTGCATGGGCTGATCAGGCTCTTCAAACTGGTTCATCGTATTCTCATCCATGAGATCTGCAGGGAGGTTCTTCAGAAACCATTCATGGTTCCTTATCTCAGGAATGGTTATTCTCTGTTGCCGATATTCAAAAACATGAGGATGGTAACAATAAAAACAATAAAACCAGTGTAGAATTATTCATGCATAAATGTAGTGTTTAAACCAGAAAAGAAACCAGAGAACCGGCCACTTCACCATGCTCTGGAATAACCATAAAGAAGAAAAATTAATCAAAGAAAAACAGACAAAGCAATAATAATGGCATTAATTGCAAGGGCATTTGTTTGATCCCACTTAATTGCAAAAGTTGGCAACTATCTACCCAAATCCTGTTCTTCTATCTACAGGGGGATATTGTTGGAACAGTCCTTAAGATCCTTTGATCTGAATTTGGTAATTTGAGGTTCAGAAGAAATCCAAAGTTTTATATATTAACAGCAAAGCCCTCAAAGACAGGATGACTTCTTCAAACATGTGGCACTAGTGGTAATTAATTAATATGTGAAAATAAGAAGAAAAAAAGGGGGGGAGCTTATGGGTTGGGGGATGGGCTACCCCTCCCTTCAAAAAAAAAAACAGAAATATATATATATATATATATATATATATATATATATATGTGTGTGTGTGTGTGTGTGTGTGTGGCTAAGCCTCTCTTAGAAAAAAGGATTAAATAACGGGGTCCCTTGATAGATCTAAAAGCGTGTTGTTTCCTAATTCAAACTTTAATTACAAATCAAATCTAATTTAGTTTTCTAGGCCAAAAATAGGGGGGAAACTGCCTAAATGGCTTCAAGACTTGCTAAATGGATGTTAGGTCCCCAAATTTAATTTCCAAGTGAAATAAAAAATGTAAAAAAAAAAAAAACAGCCGAAGGCTTAAACTTAATTTAGTTTTCCAAGTCAATTAAAGAATCTAGACCTGAGGCTTCTGACGACACTTGTGACATAGATAGTGGGTCCTAAACAAAATACATGTTTTAGATTTCCAAGTCAAATTAAAAAACCCAGTCCTAAACTAATTTAATTTCCCAAGTCAATTAAAAAAACCCAGCCCTGAGGCTCCCAATAAATAAATAAAATATTTTTCCTTTTCTTTTCAAATTGACAAATACCAACAAACACCTTTTGATTGATCAACCTGTGTGGTTCAAACCCGATAGGGTTAAAAATACCTTGGCCAACTCGAGCCAATTCAAATCTAATACATCATCACCACCGGAAATCTCTTGCCTGAGAAGGTTTCAGGCTAAATATCATCGATGTTTGCCAGTTTGGTCGATCAAACCTTTTTTTAATTTTAAAATAGGAATATGGGGTTTAATGTATCTATTTAGAAGTTGTTCGCACAATGCACATCTATTGGTTGAAAGTACAGAACCTTTTTTTCCTGTTGTTCGCACATGGCATATGCACTCTAAACTTTAATAAACTTGGCTAACGGGTTGGGATTAGCCAAGCTCCTCGCCCATCAACAACTCAAATATACACTTGACGGGAAAACATTGGCAGTTTGCACAGCCCAGGCTGTTTTATTTCTTCTACATATGGCACGTAACTTTTCTCAAACGTTCAACTAACCTTGAGCTTAAAAGCTCCATTTGATTTTTCATTTGTCAATAAAAAATAAAAGTAAAAACAATACAGATCCTATATAGAGTGATTTGGCTCCCATACGAATTTAGAAATCATAATAAAAAAACATTGTTATTAGAAGGTAGCTCATATCCTTTAATCATAAAGTAAGTCTAATTTAGTTTCCAAGTCAAAATAAACAAACCAAAAGGCATTTTAGACTAATCCATGTCAATACTAGGTCTCATAATTTAGTTTCAAGTCAAAGCAATAAGGGATCTGAGATTTGCCATGTAGATAGTGGGTCTCAAATTAAAAATTATTAAAAAAAACAACACATGTATGGTTGCCCTATCATGAGGAAAGGGCCATTTGCTAGTTAATCCCGTGATTTAAAAGGCATGCCTATGCGCACAAGCGAGGCACATTTCACCTAGGCCCAGGGATGCACCTTTTTTATGAGTTTTTTGTGTTTTCTTTAAGCATGGTGGCTGGACCAGGGACTCTGAGAACCCCCTTTTTTTCTAATATTGTTCATTCCTTCTTCTTTAATATAGGACAATTTTAAGAGGTAGGGAATTTTAATTAAAACTATAAAACCATTTTTATGTACAGGCTAATAATTTTTAAGACCTTAACATGGGCTTGCCTCAAGGGGCTTCAATACAAAGAGGCTTGTAGAACTAGACTAATGCAATTAGGAAAGAAATAAGGAGATAGGAAGCTTCACATGCATACATTGTCGAGTGCTTGAATTTGTTACATGTTATGTTTACCTTTATTTTTACATTTTTATTGTGAATACATTTTATATGTTATATTTATGTATTTTATTCTGAGCTAATATGTTTTTTAAATCATTTATTTTTAAATTTAAGTATGCATTTTAATTACTATTGTTTTTAATATTTTTTTGCAAATTTTCTGATTTTTATTTTTTGCATTTTGTACAATTTTTTGAAAATTGTGCACTTCACTTAAAAAGGCATGTGCCTTGAGTGCAAAAAGGCCCTTGCGCTTTTAAAACAGTTAATCCATAAATTCCAGGGAGAAAAAAAATGATTTCATTCCAAGGGTCACCATTTAGGGTAAGTCCCAGTTGTAGGTCTCTGATCTACTTGATAGTTATCTAAACATGACTTGATAACAATTCCCAGATTAAAAAATAAAAAACAGAAATCCTTGAATATTGAAATGTGAATAGTCTGGGTTTGAATATTTAACACTCACCGTTCCTGGGTTGGCAACAAAAATCCTTGAGATCAGGTGGCGACACTCGGGAGAAATGTGAACATAGTCTGGGATTGAATATTGAACACTCAAAATTCGCTGCACAAAACAGAAACATGACCCAATTAATTTGTTTTACAAGCCATCAGCTCTAACAAGTAGGTACAAACAAGTACCTGTATTGTCTTTCGGAAGTTCTTGGGGTCCTCAGGGTCTTCAAAAGGGTATGCACCCACAAGCATGACATAAAGTGTGACTCCACATGACCACACATCTGCAATCTGGAAATTGTAGCAGAATGTTTCAGCAGCAAGGTTTCTGAATGCAAAATTGGTTATATTTACATCTGTGTGTGAACCTAGATGGCATTCCCTAACAGTCTCCTTGTACATGAGCATATCTAACCAGCCCAAGTGCTTTATTTTGACCAAGGAAGTTTTTTTTTTTCTTTCCTTCTTTATTTGGGAGGGGGCGGGGGCAGTTGACAAGTTACAAGTTCAAACATCACAATATTAAATTAATCATTCAAAAGATGAGAGCATATATGTATGCACAGAAACATGCACATCAAATACACATGTAAGAAAGTGGACGTGCAGGAGTGTCATATATGATTATTCATGTTAAAAAGCCCCCAGGAATCACTACTACAAATAGAATATGACTATATCATGTAGTGTTTGTTTGGATTAATGAAATAGGCTTACTTTCTTGTTATTATAAAAATTCACAGGTGAATTCCAGGCCACCTTAGGTACAAACAAAAAATGACAATTGACAATCGGCTTACACCAGTAAAGTGGTTCTCAACACAAATAGCAACAAAATACAAGGTCCACCCAATTCATATGGATGAAATTGAATACAATCAATAATGATGATGCAACAAATACAGAAGTTCACGCTAAAATGAAAAGAGGAGCATGTTTCACAAAATATAATTCAAGAGGCACCTGGAAATAATGGAAAAAACATATCAGCACCTATGCTTCTCTGAGAAGTAGCATGGTAGCCACCCCCCCCCCCCCCC